AGTACAAGTGATGACTTCCTTCTCTAGGCTTTAATTCCTTGGGCTGAGTTCTGTCATTGGGCTGGTGTTGATTTTAACACCACATGCTTAATAGCTTCGTCAGAAAGAGTGGCAAGATGCAAACTGAGGAAAGCTTTATCTGTGTGCCATCCAATCCTTATAAGAGACACAGTAATTTCATTGGTGCCCCCTCATTTAACTGTAATTACATACTTTGGTGGACACCACACCACTGTACCATCAAAGTAACCAAAAAGGTCGTAACCCTCAAGAACTGATTGAATTTGTTATCTCCGTTTCAACAAATTATCCTCATGTACTCGAATCAAAATCATGCCAAGTAAACCATCAGTTTTGGGTGAAATTGACGACATGATGTGTTATAAAAAATATAGTTTTCCTCTTTCGTAAAGCCAAATACAAAAATCTTTATTTTATACATAACATATAAACAAATTGGAAAGCGTTTAAGGTACAATGAAATTGAAGAAAACAAATTGATAGGTAAGTAAAAGCAAAATAAATAATAAGTAAGAAGGTGAGTTTGGTACGGTGAAGCACGTCAAAGACACTGTCCTAAAGCCTTTGTAGCCTCCCTAAGTGCAAATACTGACAATCTACAAGACTCCAAAATACGACCTCTTGTACACAAACTCAAGATTCGCTATGAGCACGTTCATAGACGGATATAGGTATCCAAGTCACATAACCATTGCCCAAAATAATAATATAAGTAGAGAAAGTATATAAAAAGTAGAATATGACACTACTACAATTATGTTAAACTACGACACCCAAAAAACGACCCTTTATATAAAAACTGTCGTGGTATTTTAAAAGACGACCAATTTTATAACATCGCCCTGGTAAAGTACCTAATACACCAATATGTTAGGTTGATTTTTAAAATTACGACCATACCTTATCAGGACCGTCGTGTTTTCAGGAGGCGCTAAACAACAGTTCACTTTAAGTTCGCGAGCGCGGAGCTTTTCAGAAAACACTCGCTCTCTCAGACACTATGCTATCTCAAATTCTCTCACGAAACTTTCACAAAACCCTCGCTCTCTCAACTCTCTCTCACATCGATGAAGCACATCTCCCTCTCACCATCCACCGAGTTTGCAGAGATCGCCATCTCCATCGCGTCATTCAGTCCACCGAGCTCACCACGTTCAGTCCACCGAACTCGCCTCGTTCGCCAAAATTTATTCTCTCCCTCTGAAAACGAACCAAGCTCAAGCACTAATTTGAAGGGAAAAACTCCAAGTAATCTCTCTCTCTCTCTCCCTCTCTCTCTCTCTCTGTTTTCTTCTTCTCCTTTTTTGATTTTTTTAATTTTAATGAGGGTTTTAATGTCAGATCTGGTTATGATTGGCTCGCGAACACTTTGCAATGGGTATGTTTATTATGTTTGGTTTATTATCGAAGAAACTGTGTATGTTTTATTTTGTTTGATTTAGGTTCTTCCATTAAAGATGCTGGTGAGTTGATTTAGGAATTAGGGCTTTGGGTATAAAAAGCTGGTAAGAAATCCACACCATCGACTGTTTTAGGGATTTGATATAGAATGATAGTTTTCCATAATTCTATATCACTATTCTGCAGGCAATTCTAACTGACATGCATGAACATTTATGGACACAGGGGAGCTCATGTCTGTTTTAATCTTAAAAATTATTACTTTCACATTTCAAGAAACCAGTCACTTTGTGGAGCTCTAGCTGGGTTTTTCATGGTACACGTTATTTGGTTTCTCTAATTCACCATAGAATCTAACAAGTCTATTTGCGATGGCTGAATGAACATATTAGTATTATGAGTGGTACCACTTGATGCCTCCTTGATGCATCCACAAGGAATTCATATGCCCCATGTGGAATGTTTATAGGCATGCATAGGAATCCCAGAATCTTTTATGTGTTATACAAGAGCCTTACTCTAATGGATTACTTTTGAGTTATTACCTACAGGCATGCTAGCTGCAGAAGCTACATTGAGTGTACTACATGAAGGCTTAAACATGGAAAAATATTGGGATGCTTTAAGGAGTTCATGGATATGGGAAGAACTTTACAAATCTCGGAACTTCCGACCTGTAAGTAGAAACATCCATTGTCTTTTCCTTTGTTTTTAGTTTCTATCTCCATTTTCCCACTATAGGTATAAAAAAAAATTGGTCATCATTTTGGGACTGTACTACCTCCTTTTTTAGCCCTATACTAATGGATACATCCAGATAAATGTTACTCAACTAGTCACCTCTTGTCATGCAGTGTTTTGTGTATGTTTTGCTCCATTTCTCATTTCTCGTTTAACGAAATAGTAAGTTGAAACGAAAAAATATTTGTTGTTTTATGCTGCTGGATAATTCTGTGCAAATCGGAGAAGATAGCCAACTTTAAGCTTCTCCCTTAGGATTTTAATTATAGTTTACTATTACTAACCTTTTGTATAATTTTATCTTTTTAGGCATTCGAATACGGACTTATTCCTGGACTGGCCATAAGTGCTTTAGACGGTAAATTCGAGTAGTTTCTGTGAATAAAACAACCAAATGTTTGTTGTTTGGGAATTGAAAGACATGGATTGAAACATGTTGTGAAGTCTTATTATTTTTGTTTTTTTAAATTGTCTATGTACAAGGGCAAGTAGGACAAGGAGAAAAGAGAGAGGGTCCTCCTCCTTGTGTTGATTCAAAGATGAACTCAAGACCTCGTCTCATTGCTCACTTTGTTGAGCCTTCTCTGTGTGAGTCTCTACTGATTTGCTACATTGACTTCCTATTTTCTTTTTCTTTATTTTTATTTATGAAAAGTTCCTATTTTCTTTTTCAAAACATAAGACTTAATTCCACCAAAATAAAAATAAAAATAAAGAAGTGTTGTATTATTAAAGTGTAGACCATAGTAGCTTTAGTTAAAATTTTGTTTTTGTTTTTCTGATTTGGTACAGGTTGCTGCTACAAGGAAGCTTACTCAGTGGTCAAGAAAGGTACTAGCATACAACTTTCTTTGCCTTGCTCCACTTGAGTTGTCAGTCTGTAACAAAGCTTCAAGCATGGCATTTCAAGTTTTTTGACCTATTGTTGCTGATATTGCTAGAGTGGAGGGGGGATACAACAACTTGGAAAATGTGCAAGGAAGGCGGAGCTAACTCATACATCCAAGAACAAATTGATGAAGTTCGTATCAAATTAGTAGAATTTGTGAGCAACATGTAGCTCCTTTATTTCTAATTATAGGTAGGAAGTATGTATGTAATAGAATAAAGATTGGTTGACTATGTAATGACTATGAATCTTCAAGTTTTATGAAAGAAATAATTTTTGAATCATTATAATCGGCTTCCTAGTTGAAATTGTTGTATGGAATCATAGAAAACAAAAAACTACAATGTAAAAGCTTGGAAACTTATTAGACGACATATTTAAAGAAAATAAACGGTGGTTTTACCGTCGTCTGTACATAAAAACGACGACGATTTTAAACAAAATAATGTCTTCTTTATATACAATCAACGACGGTATTTAACAAAATACCGTCGTTTTTACCATATATAACGACGGTTTTCCAAAAAGCGTCGTCTTTACATAAAAACAACGACGGTTTTTAGGAAAAACCGTCGTCTTTATATTCAATAGACAACGGTTTTTTAGAAAAAGTGTTGTCTTTACATGTAATAGACGACAATTTTTTTATAGAACCGTCGTCTTTACATTTAATAGACGACGGTTCTTTTAAAAACCATCGTTTTTACATATAATAGACGACGGTTAATTACCGTCGTAGTTTGACCTTCAAAAAGAGCTGCTACAAGGAAGCTTACTCAGTGGTCAAGAAAGGTACTAGCATACAACTTTCTTTGCCTTGCTCCACTTGAGTTGTCAGTCTGTAACAAAGCTTCAAGCATGGCATTTCAAGTTTTTTGACCTATTGTTGCTGATATTGCTAGAGTGGAGGGGGGAATACAACAACTTGGAAAATGTGCAAGGAAGGCGGAGCTAACTCATACATCCAAGAACAAATTGATGAAGTTTGTATCAAATTAGTAGAATTTGTGAGCAACATGTAGCTCCTTTATTTCTAATTATAGGTAGGAAGTATGTACGTAATAGAATAAAGATTGGTTGACTATGTAATGACTATTGAATCTTCAAGTTTTATGAAAGAAATAATTTTTGAATCATTATAATCGGTTTCCTAGTTGAAATTGTTGTATGTAATCATAGAAAACAAAAAACTACAATGTAATAGCTTGGAAACTTATTAGACGACATATTTAAAGAAAATAAACGGTGGTTTTACCGTCGTCTGTACATAAAAACGACGACGATTTAAAACAAAATAATGTCTTCTTTATATACAATCAACGACGGTATTTAACAAAATACCGTCGTTTTTACCATATATAACGACGGTTTTCCAAAAAGCGTCGTCTTTACATAAAAACAACGACGGTTTTTAGGAAAAACCGTCGTCTTTATATTCAATAGACAACGGTTTTTTAGAAAAAGTGTTGTCTTTACATGTAATAGACGACAATTTTTTTATAGAACCGTCGTCTTTACATTTAATAGACGACGGTTCTTTTAAAAACCATCGTTTTTACATATAATAGACGACGGTTAATTACCGTCGTAGTTTGACCTTCAAAAAGACGACTGTCAATTTAACGACGGTTTGAAAAAGAAAAAGACGACGGTGTTTCCCCGTCGTCTATTTCAATTTTTGTAGTAGTGTGAGAGAATTAGATTGTGGTGGTGATTGTGGTATGTGATATTCTTATGGTGTATTTTGATTATTCAAATGTGAAGGAGAAGTGGCATTTTATAGGCATCCAATAACATGTAACCTTCACCGCATTAAACCATAAGATTAAGGCATTCAATATAGAAATAATACATAAAAATTAAATATGTATAACCCCCACAATAAATAAAATAAAACAGCCAAAATAATTAAATAAATAAAACGGTTAAATTTTTAAAACCTTTTTAAAATTCTCCAACATGATGAACAAGAGACAAATGGCATCAGAAAACAATATACACATAAGGACGGCTTCCTGCTACACACAAAAAATTACAATTGAAAAACAAGAAAACTCGAAGAAGAAGAAGAAGATTACACGCAGAACCATGATAACTCTAAGCTTTTCTGATTTTCTTCAATCTGTTAGAGATACAAATGGGACTCTAAGCTTTGTAGCTTGTATTAGCACTAGTCTTAACTAATTCTTTACAACCGTAACAACTGCTAACTGTGTCTCTAACAGACGTGAAATAGACGTGCCTGACTAATGCTACCATATATATTTCTACAGAATTTCCATATGTTCCTTTCTTTGTCTGCCAACAGTCAATATGTCCCTATATGCCTAAGGCCGGCCATAAGCTTTTTGTGACCCCTCTCGAAAATAAAATGATAGGTTCTTTATAAACTCCCACATGAAGAAATGTAAAAAATTGACAAGGTTCAATTAATTATTGTTTAATACACAATGTGAAACTGTCACAAAACATATATGTTTATATTGTTGAGAGTATTTGTCCCGCATTAAAACGTTAAGGGACCTAACCTGAGTTTATAAGGAGTTGGGCTACTCCCCCCATTGCCATTTGGTTTTGGGGTGGAACCTCAACTTCTTCATGGTATCAGAGCAAGGCTTCACGTGTTGGGCCCAACGGCCACACGTGCTCCCACGCCACCCAATATGTGTTGTCCACGTGTTAGGCTTGAAAGTTCGTCACACGTGCGGGGGCGTATTGAGAGTATTTGTCCCAGATTGAAAAATTTTGGGTGGAACCTCAACTTCCTTCATATAGTAGCGCTCAAGAGCTAAAAATTTGTAACTTAATACAAAACTAACCACGCATTTAGACCCAATTCATAATGCTTCTCATGATTTGAACTTATTATTTTTGAACCGTGACTTAGTAAATAGACGAGCACATTGTATTAGATAACAATAAAATGTTCTCAGTCATATACAAATGCCTAAATTATTAATTCCCGATTTAGGTGGAACTTTGGAGGAATGATCCTTGAATACAATTTTAAAAAATAAATGGTTGGAATCATGAAGTTACATTGTGGAGTAGGTCCAAAAACAAGTGGTTATCGCCATATTAAGTTACTAACTGGTTAGCACTTGAGCGTTTTTGTACGATATGTTTATATTAGCTTGAATTGATGATCTTTGGGCCCCCTATGTATTCTAGCTAGTTTCATAATCAAAACCTTCAATTTTTTAGGTGTTCTCTCAAAGACAATCTCTACACAAAAAATCAGCAAAATGGAATAATTTAACCATTTGATTAAGTGGTAGTCATTTTAGTTTGTCTTTGAAAACCACTACGTTCGTCAATTTATTTGACCACACTTAGACATCTAAATGTTTTACATATGTTGGCTAATTTTTTTGCAAAGATGATTATGAATGACCATTTGAATAATTGAAACACAATTCAAAGTGGGCCTCACAAGTGATCCATCAAACAAATTTATTTTAGAAATCCCTCATTAGAATGGGATATATATATACTAGCGTCTCAACCTGCATGTGTTAATAGCCTTCTTTCTCCTATTTATTTATTCTTTTAACCTTAATTATAGAGAAATTTTTTTCAGCATAGACTTGTTTCTTTGTATATAGACTTACGGTTGCGTTTAAGTGCTAAATAGTTAGTAAGTTAATTAATAAGGCACTAACCACTCGCCTTGATCTACTCCAAAATCTATCTCATGATCTGAACTGTTTACTTTTCAGGTCGTTAATTGAATGATCTTCCCTACGCATTCAAATCGAAAGGTGTTTAGTTATATAACTATTGCCAAAAAATAGATGATCACAATATGTTTGATAAAGAATGAAATATTCATGATAATAATCAAGTGACTAAAAGATTTTTTTCGATTTGGATGCAATTTGACAGGAATTAATGATTATTTGGCTCTTCTTATGTGTGTTCTTGAAAAACATTGATATGTCAACTGTGTAATTTGGGTTCAATTTGGGTGTCTTATCTTAATCTTTTGCTTTTTATTTAAATTTCTGTTTGGCAGTTAAAAACGATTTTCACATCATCTATACTAGCCTCTCTGCACGCGCTTCCGCGCTTGCGAGAGGCTTTTTTTTTTTAATAAAAAAATTTAAATTTATTTTAGAATTAAAAAAGACAATTGGTAGTTGTGTTCCATAAAAATAGGATCCATTATTTGATTTTTCTTTTAATTTTAATTTTTTTAAATATGAAAAAGTGTGAATTTACCATATTATCCTCATTTAATTAATAATTTTAATTCTTAATGTTTGCATTAAACAAGGGCATTTTCTGGTATTTTGAATGTTTCACCATTCTCTGCCTTTTGCTTTATATATCTATATATAAAGCAAAAGGCAGAGAATGGTGAAACATTCAAAATACCAGAAAATGCCCTTGTTTAATGCAAACATTAAGAATTAAAATTATTAATTAAATGAGGATAATATGGTAAATTCACACTTTTTCATATTTAAAAAAATTAAAATTAAAAGAAAAATCAAATAATGGATCCTATTTTTATGGAACACAACTACCAATTGTCTTTTTTAATTCTAAAATAAATTTAAATTTTTTTATTAAAAAAAAAAAGCCTCTCGCAAGCGCGGAAGCGCGTGCAGAGAGGCTAGTATAGATGATGTGAAAATCGTTTTTAACTGCCAAACAGAAATTTAAATAAAAAGCAAAAGATTAAGATAAGACACCCAAATTGAACCCAAATTACACAGTTGACATATCAATGTTTTTCAAGAACACACATAAGAAGAGCCAAATAATCATTAATTCCTGTCAAATTGCATCCAAATCGAAAAAAATCTTTTAGTCACTTGATTATTATCATGAATATTTCATTCTTTATCAAACATATTGTGATCATCTATTTTTTGGCAATAGTTATATAACTAAACACCTTTCGATTTGAATGCGTAGGGAAGATCATTCAATTAACGACCTGAAAAGTAAACAGTTCAGATCATGAGATAGATTTTGGAGTAGATCAAGGCGAGTGGTTAGTGCCTTATTAATTAACTTACTAACTATTTAGCACTTAAACGCAACCGTAAGTCTATATACAAAGAAACAAGTCTATGCTGAAAATTTTTTCTCTATAATTAAGGATAAAAGAATAAATAAATAGGAGAAAGAAGGCTATTAACACATGCAGGTTGAGACGCTAGTATATATAATATATATCCCATTCTAATGAGGGATTTCTAAAATAAATTTGTTTGATGGATCACTTGTGAGGCCCACTTTGAATTGTGTTTCAATTATTCAAATGGTCATTCATAATCATCTTTGCAAAAAAATTAGCCAACATATGTAAAACATTTAGATGTCTAAGTGTGGTCAAATAAATTGACGAACGTAGTGGTTTTCAAAGACAAACTAAAATGACTACCACTTAATCAAATGGTTAAATTATTCCATTTTGCTGATTTTTTGTGTAGAGATTGTCTTTGAGAGAACACCTAAAAAATTGAAGGTTTTGATTATGAAACTAGCTAGAATACATAGGGGGCCCAAAGATCATCAATTCAAGCTAATATAAACATATCGTACAAAAACGCTCAAGTGCTAACCAGTTAGTAACTTAATATGGCGATAACCACTTGTTTTTGGACCTACTCCACAATGTAACTTCATGATTCCAACCATTTATTTTTTAAAATTGTATTCAAGGATCATTCCTCCAAAGTTCCACCTAAATCGGGAATTAATAATTTAGGCATTTGTATATGACTGAGAACATTTTATTGTTATCTAATACAATGTGCTCGTCTATTTACTAAGTCACGGTTCAAAAATAATAAGTTCAAATCATGAGAAGCATTATGAATTGGGTCTAAATGCGTGGTTAGTTTTGTATTAAGTTACAAATTTTTAGCTCTTGAGCGCTACTATATGAAGGAAGTTGAGGTTCCACCCCAAATTTTTCAATCTGGGACAAATACTCTCAATACGCCCCCGCACGTGTGACGAACTTTCAAGCCTAACACGTGGACAACACATATTGGGTGG